ATATTCTCTCTCTTTTTTTTTTTTTTTTTTGGTCTTTGTTGTTTTTATCGGTACCAGGGATCGAACTCACGACTGCCTGCTTGCAAGGATAATATTCTCTTTTAATTAAAAAAAAAAGTCTTTTACCTGCAGTCAGAGACAGCGCCAGGTATTTTGGGCCTGGTTATTCACATTTGAGGATCTCCCTTACAAAAAAAGAAAAATAATACAAAACCATGAATGCAGATGAAAGCCTCAACATGAGTAATTAGAATGGGGAAGAGATAGAAATGAATTACAAATTTAAATGTCATAAGTCACAAAAACCTAGACGAGCAACCTACTTTTAGAAACTTGAATAGTGTCACGTGACACACACCAGTGACCCCAGACTCAGGAGGCTGAGGCAGGAGGAGCGCCATGGGTTCCAGGGGTCCAAAAAAAAAATAAATAAATAAAAATTGAATACCTCATCTACCGTACTGATTCTTTCCTGCAGACTTTTTAGCTCCGTATTTTTTGATGATCTTTCTGTATAATGGTAATTTTGTAACGTTTTCTCTATGGAGGACAAAGTCCTTCCGTGGGTCTTGGCCAGGAATGAAGGGTAAAAGTGCAGGAGAGGCGCGCTTGGCGCCAGGAGGAAGACACAGTTAAGCCGCGGGGCCAAAGCACACACAGGCGGTGGGTGTGAGAGCCTGAGGGCTAAGCAGGGGCCTGCTGCATCTGGACGGCGTCTTTCGCATCCCAGGAAAAGCTGCTCAGGCTCCAGACAGCTCCGGGCACAGACTGCTCTTCCACCTGGATCCTAAATGGAAGCCAGAAGCTCCAGGCAGCTGGCCTTTCTCCCCGGGGGGGCTGGCTCTCTGCTTGGCAGCCCCTTGGGGCCCCGAGGCTGACCCGGCCCGGCCCCAGTGACCTCTGTAATTCTCCGACTGTGCGGGGTTTCAGGCTTTCCTGTGCTGTGCTTTGTTAAAATATTTTCTTGCATTCCAAGAAAAAAATCTTACTTTCAAATAACTGTAAATCCAGAGGAAGTTGTAAAAGCAGAGCAAAGAATCCTGGGTATTCTTTACCCAGCTTCCCCAGTGATAAAGCTTTCCCTGACTACAGTGCTCTGTGAAGACCAAAAGATCTACATGAGTGTGAATACAAAGACTTCTCCAACCTTACCTGCACACACGTGTGTGTGTGCTGTGTGTTTATACAATTTTATCACTCGTAGATTTGTGGAACTCAATAAGATGCAAAAGATCTCTCTTGGTGTCCCCGTAGATACCTTCTCGCTATTCCTCACACCCTGGAAAGCTGTAAGCATGGAATACACATGGAGCATAGCAGAATGTAGTTCTTGAGAGTGGTCTCTGTACTCAGCACAAGCGTAGAGATCCAGATGAGGTGTTAAGTATCAATAGCCCACCCTTTTCAGTGCCGAGTAGTATTCTATGGCATGGATATACCACAGTGTAGCCACCCACTGGCTGAAGAACACTTTGGTTATTTCAGTGTGGAACCGTGACTCTGGAAGCTGCTGTGAAGACGCGTGACTATTTCACACAGGTTTAAGTTTGGATTTCTCTGTAATAATAGCCCTGAGTGCAGTTCCTAGGTAGTTTTAAATGTAACGCTGCACTGCTTGCCAAGTGGCTGTGCTACTCGGTGTCACCAGTCACATATGACAGGCTCTCAGTCTGTGTCCCGCTGCCAGCTGGCTCTGTGCCTGTTTATTTTAGCTCTGTTAGTCATCACGGTCTTGAATGGCATTTCTCGGGCTGGGACGCAGCCTGTTTCCCATGCATTTGTTTGCCATCTATTTGTCCTCTTGGACAAAAGGGTTCTTTGTGTCTCCTGCCCAGGCTTTAATTGGATTGATTTTGGTTTTATCTTCTTACCATTGAGGTTTTTAAAATTCTAGATAGAGGTCCTCTTCCAGACGTACGGTTTTTAAGATTTATTTTTATTAGTACGCCTCCCATACATAACAGTCACGCCCTTCCTGCGGGCTTTGCGGTATTTACAGCCGCCTCCCCGTCCGCAGCTGGGCCTTCCTCCCCCTGACAGGCTCGCTCTCCCAGACAAAGTTTTTAACTCTTGAAGACGTCTAATTTATGAGTTTTTCATGTTCGCATCATGTTTTTATCACGCCTAAGAAAGCCCTTCCCGCGGTCCTGGAGACTTTGTCCTGCATTTCCTCCTCCCAGTTGCCGGTTTGACATTTTAGATGACCGTGTGAGGAAACTCTCGGGGCACGGTTAGATCTGGACAGACGGTGTTGTGGGTTTGCTGGTTGTTTTGTCCGAAATGCCCACCAGTCTGCTAACATGTGTTCTAAGATTTCCTCTATCAAATTTTCAGATTCTGCCAATTTACTTTCTTTAATCCATTATAAAACACGCAGCCTAATTTGCGGTACCCTGGACTGAGGAAGGCTGCTGGAATTTCTGCCCAGTCCTCCCTCCCTCCTGTCTCTTTCTTTCTTTTCTCCTCCGCTTCCCTCCCTCCACCTCTCCCCTCCTCTCTCCTCTCTCCCCTGCTGTCTCTTCTTGACGACAAGTAATTGCTGGGAGCAGTGCTGTGTCTGCTCACAGCGTTTCTGTGCCTGCCGTGGAAGTGTGGTGGCCGGTGCAGGACCGAGGGGGCGCGTCCACCTGGAGGCCAGGTGGGCAGGGTGACACTTCCCACCCTGCAGGCTGTGACCTGAAGGCAAAGGAGAAGCCACGTCTGTGCCCGGTGGAGGAAGAGGCACCTCGACAGGAGCAGGAGGGGGACAGGGGCAGCTGGACCAGCCTTGGGCCACCACGATGCATCCAGGAGGGTGTGTCAGCCAGGCCAGACAGACCCAACTCATGTCCTGGGCTCTGTCCACGGCAAGCCAGCCCCGCTGCCTGTGCATCCAAGCTAACGAGCCCTGGCAGAGCCCAGCATGTCTTTGGTCTCGGACGACCAGGCTGGGTCCGCAGTAGCACAGGGCTGTTGGGGGCTCACACTGCAGTCTCCACCAGCCTCTGCCCGGGGAATAGGAGGTGCTGTCCAGAGCAGGACACACAGCTGGTCAGCGGGCGGCGGCAGCTGGAGACGGATGCATGGGGCTGCCCGGAGGAGAGCACCGAGCCGTGTGTGTTCTCTGGGGGTGGATATTTCCAGATTACACACGTCGTGTCATTAGGAAGCACAGCTATAAATTAGGCTTCTCAGGAGCATGGGGTGCGTAATAATTAAGTAATAAAAGTCACCGCGGGGGTAAAGGAGACAGGGAACAAAGAGCCAGTGTTGGGGGAGGCACGGAGCGGCTGTGCCATGAGACCTCAGTGTTTCAGACCCAAGAACCTTGCTCAAAAAGAACCCAGCTCAAGCCAGGCGTGGGGGCACACACCTGTCATCCCAGACTCTGGAGGCTGAGGCAGGAGGATCACAGCAAGTTTGAGAGCAGCCTGGGCTACACAGTGAGCACAAGGTCAGCGTGAACTGCATAGCAAGACCCTGTCTCAAAAAGGCAACAGAAAGAGAAAGAAAGAAAGAAAAAGACAGACCTAACTCAGCCCCATGCCCAGGAAACAACCAGTTCAGTAGGAAGCAGGGGGACTGGGGCCAGCAGAGACAGAGGGGTGCAAACCGACCTCATCAGAACCTGCTCGTTTCCGGCACAGTCCAGGGTAAACCATCCCAGCTTTTCCAGCGGCGGTCAGGACTTCAAAGACCTGGGGACGCCAGACAGGGCTGAGACAGCGCCAGGCTTCCCTCCCTCTGCCTGCACCTCCTGGTTACTTTGTCTTCGAGAAAGATCGCAAGGTTGCTTCTGCAGTGCTGAGCCTCCCCTGAACCCCTGGCACCGTGGGAAGTCTGGTAAAAGCTGGGACCCCCAGTCAGACTGTCCTGTGCCATTTCCTGAGGTACCTATCAGGGCATGGAACCCCTGAGGAGCTGCTTGGGGCGGGGCAGTCGCCCTGGACAGGACCGTGGCCACTGCACACCCAGGGACACTGGTGAATCACTGTCTGAGGGTCCTTCGGCTGTGACAGCCTGATGTCAGGTCCCAGGTCCTCCCACAAGGAATCAGCACAGGCTGGGTGGCTTCAAACACAGGAAGTGATTCCCTCCAGGTTCCGGAGCCCAGAGTGGCCCACATCTTCTGGCCGTGGTGGCCCCAGGTCCCTCAGCGTGGAGCCATGTGGCTGCTCTCAGGTGTCCCCAGCATACTGTGGTCTGGAAGCCTGATCACCTCTTCGGTCACTCTGCGGCTGCTGCAGAGTTCTGGCTCTGTACGTGGCCGGCCACGATCCATCCGGGTACTCAGTGGCTGGGCAGGTCTGGCTCAGGGTGCTGCCATCCCTGCCCCAGGGCCCTGTCCCTGCCCCGGGGCCCCGTCCCTCAGCCTCATCCCTGAGACCTGGACGAAACCCATGTGCACCTCACGGCATTGCAAAGCACGCAGCCCGGGATGAGTTTTCTGTGGCTGGAAATTAGAGTCAAAGAGAACTGGAGCAGACACCAGTTACCGATGGCGGAGAAGATGTGACTCCATGAGATTGCAAAAGGGGAGAAAGGCAGTGTAGACTCGACCTGGATTCCCAGCAGCACAAATGGGGCGGAGCCAGCCGAGGGTGGAGGCGCTGGCTGACCCGATGGACGGGACTCCTGCTGAGGGTCCGAGGGTCCATCCGGGTCTCTGGTCATGGGGGGCTGGCTAGGAACCTGATCAGCTCTCCAGGGAGTGCACATGTGAAGCCTGGGGGGCCCCTTAGCAGCACTTATCCCGCCTCCAAGGGAGATGCCAGGGCGAGCCCGGGGGTGAGGCCCAGTGGTAGGCAGCTTGAGGGGTCCGGGTTTGCTGAGGGACATGCCCAGCACATCTCAGGCCACCCACACACAGCTGTGGACAGCCGCTGGCTCTGCAGCCGGGACAATGACCGCAGTGCCCGGGGGCTGGGGAGAAGGCAGTGCTGGTGTGGGGAGAGAGACATCCTGTCCTGTGGGGCCTCGGCTGCAGCTGGACCCCTCCTTTCTCTCCCCTCCTCCCCCAGGCCTTCGACCCCGTTTTTTGACCTGCTGCAGCACCGGTACCAGCAGCTGTGGGTGCAGGAGCAGAAGGCGGCCCAGAAAGCCATTAAACTGGAGAAGAAGCAAAAGGTAAGGCAGCGTCAGCCCTCGGGCCGGCAGACCTCGCCCCGCAGCTGGGGTCCAGCGGTGCTGGCCCCTGCACCGACCCTTCCCGCCTGGCCTCCACACTACTTCCCGTGTCCAGGCATCAGGCTTTCAAGGAATCCGAGGCCCAGACAGAAGCCTGTCTACAGGGACATGGGTAAATGAGACAAGGCAGAGAAAGCCACTTGCAGAGCAGCCTTTCGGTTCGGGGAAAGTGATCTGGTCACTGGTTACCAACAGGCCTGTCTCCAGCTCAGCCAACGCCTCCTTTGGCTTCTTGCGCCGTCCACCTCTCCACCCCAGGCCTGGAAGTCAGGCTTGGGGGTCACTGCCTGCACCGGGCTGCTGGAGCCCACATTCCCACCAAACCAATGAGTGTTCTTAGCACTGGCAGAAAGCTGAAAGTAGAAATTCCACTTTGATCCAACTATGCCCCTTCAAGTACCTTCCTGAAAGAGGTAAAGACATCCTAGTCCAGCGATCTGCACACACCCATGTTATAGCAGCAAGATTAATGTGAGCTAGCTTTGGGGAGCAGCCTATATGCCATCATAGATGAATGGATAAGGGAAATGTGGTATTTACACCCAGCGGAGTACTACTCTGCCATGAAAAGGGCAAACGAGTCCATCTGTAGGGAAATGGCTGCACCCTGAGACCGCAGTGTGAAGTGAAATAAACAAGACTCCCAAGCTTAAATGTCACCGAGAAGCCCAAAGGACAAATAAAAAGCAAAATAAAAGGCGGGTAATAGGAAGCAGGAAGACAGAGCTTTCCCAGATGGGAAGGGGACCCAGAGACGAGGGAGGGAAGAGAGGCAGGGGAGGGGAGGCAGAAAGAACTGGCCGTGTTCTGTACGTTCAGCTCCACTCGAGGGGTACTATGGCAAACGTGCTAATGAGCAATAGGAGCTGAGAGCAGAAAGATGTGTTTGGAATGGTAAAAAAGAAGGAAGGAAGGAAGGAAGGAAGGAAGGAAATACTCCCACAGGCTGAGCACAGTGGTGCACACCTGCGACCCGGCTTCTCAGGAGGCTGAGGCAGGAGGAAGGCAAGTTCAAGGCCGACCCAGGAAACTTGGTGAGAATCTGTCTCGAAGGTAAAAGCCAGAAGCGCAGGGAGGGCAGGGTCTGGCAGAGTGCTTACTAGACACGTGAGTCCCTGAAGGGCGTGAGGGGAGCACGGGAGCCCAGGCTGCCAGGCCGCTGTGCTTTCCGGCTTGCATGGAAAGCATAGCGTCTCTGGTTGTCCCACTGGTCACAGCCAACACTCCCCTGGCCAGCTCCCTGCCGAGAGGCGGGCGGAGCCACCCCAGGTTCCTGCCAGGACCCCCATCAGGGCAGCGTCTCCTCCCCTTGCTCAGCCGCCTCCTTCCTATGGGGAAACTGAGGCTGGGTGCAGTAAAATGTCCACTGGCCTCGGACCCGGGTGTGTCTGGCCCGTAGTGTGGCTCTGGTGGGGACCCAGCCGCTGACATAGGAGCGCCTGGGATTGGTGAGAGTGACCGTGCTCTGGGGCAGACCGGAGGTCCTGGGGCGCTCAGGACAGGCGGCAACACCCCTCGGCTCTGCCTGGTAGCTTGGCACTCGTGGCGGGTGCAGAAGAGCAGAAACCTGGATGGTCACCTGCGGCTGTGTATTTGCACATTTGCCAAGGCCACACTGTGATGGTAACGGCCACTCCCGAGCCCCACACAGAACCTGGGGCTTCATTTTTGGTTTGCTTATTTGTTTGTTTTGAGACAGGGTCTTACTCTGCAGTGCAGGCTGGCCTTGTACTAGCTTATGTGGCCCAGGTTAGCCTTGAATTCACGGCGATCCTCCTGCCTCAGCCCGTGCTGAGATTCCAGGTCTGTGCCACCACACCCAGCGAGACCTGTGTTTTAATGAGCAGCTATTCACTGCAGCCCAGGGTGAGCACAGAGGATTCCCGATCACTGGCCCCTCCACGTCCCTTCTCCAGGTCCTAGGATCATCTCGTAGCCCACCGCCCTCCCTCTAATGCAGTGACCCTGACACAGCCAGCGTGAGAGGCTCCATGCCATCTGGCCCAGCCCTGGGTGGGGGTGTGGCTTCAATTGTTGAGGGTCTCCCCTTGGAAAGTTGTCTCACAAATGGGTCAGACTGCAGGGGCGCCCTGAGCGCTGAGCTCTTCTAGGGGCGAGCAAAGCGTTTTCCTTTTATCCCCCCTGGGCTCAGGGCTGCAGCCTAGCAATCGGAGAGAGTGCAGGTTCCCATCTCACCTGACACGGGAGCCCGAGAGCCGGAGGCACCGTTAGACCCGTGTGTTTCTACGGTTTGAGGAGGAGGCTGTCAGTCATGGAATCAGGGAGGGGACAGACGGGAGGACCAGGCGGCAAGGGAGGCAGACAGGGAGAACCCTAGCGAGGTCTCAATTCTTCTCTGCATCCCTGCATCTTCAGGCATCAGGAGGTCGCCCCACAGCACCCCACCCCACCCCACGCCAAGCACAGGGTGCCCCGTAGAGTGAGGGGCTCAGGTCCGCTGCAGGAGGCCAGTGTCCTCCTTCTGGGAAAAAGGGTGGGGTGAGGGTGGGTTAGAGAGACCGCAGGGCTGGGAGCCTGCCCGGCTAGTTGACATCACTCCACTGGCTGAGGCCAGGCTGCCCAGGGCGCCCGTCTCTCCCCAGGTCTGTAAGCCGCTCAGAGCACCCTGGGTCTTGGGCTGTGATGGCTCCAAGGAGTCCTCCGGAACGGGCACCAGTTGACCAGCCAGGCTCTGGTGCCAGCAGCCTCCATGCTCAAATCCTGGTTCTACGGGATCCTGCCCATTAGGCACAGGAATCCTTTCCAAGCAGGGCAACAGAGGCTCAGAAGCCCAGCTGACCAACCCCTGACCAGATACCCGCTCCACCCAGACTCAGTTTCCAAATTGTTCCAGTAGGCAGGGAAACCAGCTGGTCCAAAGGGCTTAAGAGTTACCCAAAGGCCCTGGACCCGCGGCAGCACAATCCCGGCCCCTGCCTGCATCCCCGTACCTCTCGGGCGGCCAGCGAGGCTCACCACGAGTGTCCTCCGCCTGCAGGTGGTCCTGGGAGAGCTCTGTGAGACCCGCAGCAGCCTGCTGAGGAAGCACAAGCCGCCAGTGAAGATGGATGCCCTGTGGCACATGCCCCACTTCCGGAAGGTCAGTGTCTCCTTGGCCTGCACCCCGGGCTGGCCCTCACCTGCCTCCAGGACATTTCTGAGCACTTCCTGGGGGGTAGACTCCGGGTGTCACGTCCCTCAGCCCAGCCCTCACCTGCACCGTCCCAGAAGCGGCTGCCATGGACAGGAAACTCAGTGCATGGTGGATGTGTGGGGCTGGACGGAGGCCAGGTCGGCTCTGCACGCAGCCTGGGTGCCAGGGGGAGGCAGGCAGATGCCACCTGGCCACACCCCTGCCAGGGATGGGGTCCCGCGCCTCCCAGGCCCCAGGTTGGCACAGTGCCCATCCCTCAGTGCTGACCCTCCCGCTGGCTGCTGGCCATGGGTGTGGGGACCAGTGTCTACAGGTGCCGCGTGAGTGCATGGGGCGCAACCACACCGGCTGGATAGGAGTCGGGGGAACTGTGACCCCAGCCTTGGATATTTTTATTTTTGTTAGTCGGGGTCGGCAGCCTGTGTTTACGGTCTTCATGGGGAGCAGGGCATGGACACAATGCGTCTTCCTGATTCACCCCCTCCCCTCCCCCGGCCTCCCTCTGTCTCTTCCCTTTTGCAAAAGTTCAGTCTCCCAGGGCTGGGACACAGCTCAGTGACACAGGCACCTTCCTGGCAAGTATAGGTCCTGAGTTCAACTCCTGGTCCCAGGAAATCAAAAACAGAAAAGCCCCATATCCCTGAATCCTCTATGTTTTATTTTGCTCTATAATCTCTTCATGCGTTAGACTTTTCTCTCACTCTTTATTTATACTGTGGGTTTCTCGTGTGCTACTTAGGCTCGGGGGCCTGACTGCGCCACCTAACATTATGGTCTCAGGGGGCACCTGTGTTCCTCCAGTGACTAAATTTGCCGCTCTTGGTGGCAGGGTGGTTCCCCACGTGTGTAAACGCCACCCTTTCTTTACCTGCTCTTGGATTAAGGGCACAGAGCTGCCTTGGGACGCCCTGCTGTCGTCAGTCATGTGCTGCAGACGTGGTGTGTGTGGTCCCATGATGGAAGCCTGGGGCTCTCTGCGGGGAAGCCTAGTCTCCTCTCGGGCTGGTTCTGGGGGGATTTCTGCTTTGGTTTTCTGAGGCACCCGCACAGACTTCCGAAGTGGCTGTCCTGGTTCACACGGCCGTTGACGGCCGTTGTCTCTGCACCGGCCTTGGACCTGTGCCCCTGAGCCTTCCCTTGTGACCCCGTCCCCTGGGCAGGCAGGGCCTGGTCTCAGGCACAGCTGGGAAAGAACAATGTGCCAGCCGCGCCTTTGGGTAGCTTTGGGGACAGATAGTGGGGACCGAGTTCCAGGAGACCATGAGGGACTTGCACGCCTGGCCCCAGTGGCTCAGATGCAGACAGGAGCAGAAGCGAGTGCTGCTGGGGCTCAGAGAAAGTGGCTGCGGGAAGAGAAGCCAGCCTGGCACACGGTGCCAGGCGCAGCACATCCCTGAGCCTGTGGGGTGGGGTGGGGGCACTCAGGGTGACTGCCGTGCTCCCCCAGAGCTGCTGCCCTGGGACCCGGGTCAGGGACGCAGTGCCCAAGCTGGCACCTGCACAGCATCTGTCGAGCCTCAGTGGTGAAGGCCAAGCCCAGCCTCTTTGGGCAACTCCCATCTTTCATGGGGTGCTCATGGGGTTCTGTACACCACCACACTCACCCATCTGATCATCCAGGAACCGCAGGAAATAGCATCCTGTGTGGGATTGGCAGGCAGGGCTATGCCCTGGCACTGCCCAGTAAAGTGCAGCAGAGACCCTGAGACCCCCGGGAGCTGTCACTGTAGGATGTCACACAAAGACAGCGTCACACCCCCCATCAGGAAGTGAGGCTGACAAAAGTACTTATTGAAGGGGCTGGGGATTTAGCTCAGTGGCATAAGTGCCTGCCTTGCAAGCAGGCAGTTGTGAATTTGATCCCTGGTACCGATAAAAAGGAAAAAGACAAAAGAAAAAAAAAAAGTACTTATTGAGGTAATCCCAGCACTCAGAAGGCTGAGGCAGGAGGATCACTGTGAGTGTGAGGCCAGCCTAGACTGCATGATGAAACCCTACCTCAAAAAGACAAAAAAAAAAAATTTAAATATATTTTATTGAGTCTAAGCACGTTGAGAGTGCTGGCTGTGTCTTAATTTAGCTGTGTCAGTCACTGATGGGATAGCCTCAGCTCTCAGGAAGCTGAGGCAGGAGGATCACCATGGATTTGAGGCCAGCCTGGGCTACACAGTGAGCTCAAGGTCAGCCTGAACTGAATATCGAGAACCTGTCTCAAACATTAAAAACAAAACAAACAAACAAACAAACAAAAAAACAAAAAAACAAAACAAAACAAAACAAAAAGTGTAAAAAAAAAAAACCAAAACAACAAAACAAAACAAACAAACAAACAGAAGAAGAATTGGCTGCCTAGGGCCCCCCCTCCGGAACCTGGCCGCCTCCGCCTCCAGCTGGATCTGGACTCCCAAGGCCCCTCGGGCAGCCAGGCCCAGGCTGCTGTCCTACGTTGCCATGCACGAAGCCCCGGGAGGGTCTTTGTCTGACCTGCTGCCCCCACCTCGACCCCATTATGAAGGGAAAAAGCATTTCCAAAAAAGTCGGGCTTGTCACAGTGATGGACAACCTAAATGGACTCTCCCGCTCGCCAACAGATGTCTGTGCTGAACTCTGTCAGAAATAATTAAACACCTTTCACACCCAAGACAGCAGGCAGGGCGCGGTGGCCACTGTGGGTTGGCCGGGAGGGTCGCCCTGCGAGAGGGCGGTGAGACCCTGTCCCCGACAAAGGCTGCCGTGGGCAAGGGGTGAGGATGGGAGGGGAAGCAAGCACAGAACAAGCCCGCCCAGCCCAGGGGGGCCTGTGTCAGTGCATGGTGGTGTACTGTAACCTCCACGCACAGGAGGCCAAGGCAAGAGGATTGCCGAGAGTTGGAGGCCAGCCTGGGCCCCAGAGTGAGTCCAAGGCCAGCTGGAACTGGACTGAGACCCCACCCCAGCCACAGGGGGTCCTGAATGGTTAGGTCTGCAGCTCTCTTCAAAACCAAGGCCCTGTGATGCTGAGGTTTCTGGCCAAAGAACCCCGAGAGGGCTGAGAGCAGACTCCCCAGCTCAAACTGTCCAACTCCCCCCACAAAGTGCAGGCCCTGATCCAGGTGATGCAGGGCCCTAGGCAAGGTGCAGGGTGGCGTGAGGGAGTTCGCCTGCAATGGCTTCTCCATGGTCAGCAGCCTGGGTCTGTGGTGACTGACCACTTCCCACCTGCCTGCTGGGGTTCCTGTCTGCCACCCACTTCTGCTTCTGTAAACTGAGCAGATGATGCCCTGGCTGGGCTGCTGTGACGCAGTGATAGAGGCGCCCGCCCGTCTGTTCATCTGTCCGCTCGCAGGTCTCCTCTGAGTGCCATCCAGGCAGGCCCCACTCTCCGTGCGTTTGACTCAGGGATGAATGGCCACAAGACAGCTGTGACTGCTATCGGTCACTGGCAGGGCACAGGAGGGACTGACAGATGCCAGGGACAGAGAGACAGGGGATCAGGAGGAGCCCCAGGGAAACAGCATTTGTAGCTGCAGTGGTCAGAAGGCAAAGGACAGGCATCCACGAACCTGCCCCTCCTGTCCCTTGGGACTGCGTGGCCCTAATCATGAGCCAGAAACGGTTGGTCTTTCTGCCTGAAGACGGTCTGCTCCCCAAGGCTAATGAAGGGGTGGTTGCCGAGGGGAGAAGGCCGGGCCCATGCTGGGAGCCGGGAGGGCACCAATTCCACCTGTGCCCGAGACACTGCCCTGAGTGCTGCTGGGGGAAGGACCAGGACGCCTGACCCCAAATGGGCAGAGAGCACCCACGGGTCCTGTGGCATTGGTCTGGCATTCTGGGAGGGGGGTCCCCCAGTGGTAACCATGGTGATGGGGGAGGTGGGTGATTTTTCTTTTTCCAGTGTTCTCTCCACATGGTTTGAGTTTTGCTTTTTTGCAGTACTGGGGATTCAGCCCGGGGCTTCTGCCCCAAGCCGCATCCCTAGCCTTTTTTTAAAAAATGATTTTATTTTGAGACAAGTTCTTGCTAAAGTTGCCTACGCTGGGCCTGAACTTACGATCCTTCTGCCTCAGCCTCCCAGTGTGTTAGTATTACAGGCACGTGCTACTACACCCAGTTAAGGACGTGTAAACCAGGCAGGCTATTTTAAAAAAATGTTTCTGGAAGGTGGAGAGCCTGCCTTCTTCCCCGGGTGTCTCCTCAGGGGTCCGCCCCACCTTAAATCCTGTCCTTCCAGACAGAAGTGCTGGGAAAGCCTGCCTTCTCGGGGTCCTACTCCCACGATGGCCGGGGGGCTTCCCGGCTCAGTCCACGCTGTAACAGGAGCCCCACAACTCCTTGGGAGGAGTAGGGGTGGGACTGGCCCTCCCCAGGCTGGCTGTCCACGGCAGCACCAATCCCACTGACATTACATAGTTGTTCAGCCACCAAAGTATGAACAAATTGACTATCTTTTCCTTCGCTTGGGTTTCAGCCCCAGTGCTTTAGAATAATGGCCCGAGCTATTAAGCTAACAGTTTGATTTACAAGCTCGTGTGCTCCGAACATGGGATCAGCGCCTTTCTTTGTGGAAGACTAACCCCGCTCGGGTCTCCTGGGCCTCTGCCCCAAACACAAGCTGCGGACCAAGGCTGGGAAAACGCAGCAGCCAGCCAAGCGGTGACACCGGGAGACGCTGCTGATTAGCCAAAGCTGCTGAATCTAAGAAAGGGATTTGCTTTGCCACCTTTAAGCTCTCTTACAAATCATAGCTGGCTGGAAAGCTAACTCTCTGTTAGACCCCCAGAGCGGGCTCCTTGCCTGCCCACCCCGCCGCCTCCACCTCTGTGAAGGGCTTGCTCTTTCCCCAAGGGGTGCCCCACCCCGGAGTCACTGTCTTCAGACCCTGGAGGACAGAAGGTGCTGCCTCTGCTGCCCCCACCCGGGTCTCACTCCGGGAGGGTATTTTAAGAATCCTGTCGGGCTGGTGAATT